CAGGAGGCAAGTACTTCAGAACACGATGACTCGATAAAAGGAAAAAAAAGCCAACTGGCCATTAGCTTTCTTTTTCTTTTTTCTTTTTCTTTTTTCTTTCTTTCTTTTTTTTTTTTTTTTTTTTGAGAGTCTAGACTCCCACATCACTATAGGGCGTGTGCTTTCACCAGAAAGACAGAAAGCAAGAAATCGCCCCCCAGGGGGAAATGGCCACACCGCAATCCCTTCTCCTCCATTCTCCTCTCGGGATCCTAGGCACATGTACACAGCATGAGTTTCAGCCACCAGGTCTGGGACTTGAACCGTGGTCAGCTACATGGGAGTCCAGCGACAGAGCCATTATGCCAACTGCTGGCCCCGCCATTAGGTTTTTTTTTTTCCATTAGCTTTTTTAATGCAGGGTTACCACTCTGCGTTCTGATATGGAGCCATCTCTGTGATACTTTTTTTTTACATAATTATTTACTTAATTTTATTTATTCATTCATTTATTTTAATTTGACCAGAGAGAGAAAGTGAGAAAGCAAGCCACCAGATCTGGGACTTGAATCATAGTCAGGGATGTGGGAGAGTCCAGCAGCTTAACCACCACACCACCTGATGGTCCCTGTGATCTGGTTTTAAGAGCAAGAAAGCAAAATATGGAAATAGTCCAAGTTAGAATGCTGCCATGTTTTTGTTGTTGTTACTTAATTTAATTTAATTTGACCAGAGAGGGACACTGAGAGCGAGCAAGAGAGACGGAAAGTGAGAAAGCAAGTCGCCAGGTCCAGGACTCCTGCGTGGTCAGCCACCTGGAGACCAGCGCCCTTCACCACCACCACGCCACCTGCGGGCCGCAGCACTGCCGCTTTGAAGAGGAGAAGCACGTGCACACCGGCCCGAGCGGCTCCTGTTTGGAACGGGTTGAGGGCTGTGGTTATTCTCAGTAATCCCAGGCATTCTCAGTGTGCCTTCTCGGCCGCTGTCCTGAGCTAGTCCGGCTTCCAGGAGTGCGCTGGACTCATTGCCGCTAGGTCCCGCCAGCCTGGGGCCCTGCAGCCTTTCGCTCTGCCGGCAGGTCTGAGCGCTTGACCGGCACCTGCTGCCTCGGCACTCAGATTCCTCTCGGCATCCTCAGGAGCCTCAAGGTAGGAAAAGCTCTGGGCAGGGCCCCGGGTGCCCATTTCTCCTCTTGCCCGAGGTCCCAGACAGCACCAGGATGAGAACGGCTTTATCCTGGGTGCCGTAAAAGCGCCGTTCTTTGGGAGACATCTAGCCACACACGCAGACCCTGCGCAGGATCAGGCGTTGGGTCAGCCACCACCCCACGGCCTCTCGATGGCGATTCCCTAGGAACAGCAAAGGTCTCCGAACAGGCCTGGGTGCCCTCCAGAGTCACAACGGACTGACTGCTTCCAGCTTCCACTCCAGGACAAGGGCAAGGCCATCTGAGCCAGACGCAGGGGTGCTGGTAAGCTCGGCACCGCTAGGTAGCACTGAGTGTGGGGGAAATCAGAAGCGCTTCAGGAACGCCTCCCATCCCTTTTATAACTTCCCTAGGCGTTCACGGCCGTGTACGATTATTCCCGGCTCATGGATGAGCACACTGAGGCTCAGCGAGAAGGGAATCACATTGCCTAGGTTTAGAGCCAGTCTCCTGCCTGTCCTAAGTTGTTTCCGTCTGTCCTTGAAAAATGGTGCCCGGAGCAGAGCAGGTGGACGTGAGGTGACTAAACAGAAGAAAAACCCAGGATTCTTGGAAAGACTGGGCCACGCATAGTTCAGGATGCAAATATTCCCTGCCTAAGTGGACAAAAAGCAGGCAGTTCTCCGGGCACTAGGGCTCTGTAAAGAAACACCCTCCTAGGGAACAATCGGTCACAGCGCTAATTGTGCAGGAGGGTCACATCGGGCGAGCTCCTTCCCTTCCTCCTGTGCCCTTACTCATGCCTGCCCCTAATCGTCCAGGCTTCTCCGGCTGCTCCTCCCCCCCAGCTGCACCCCCGATGCCAGGTTTCAGTCCCCCAATTATCTGTCCGGCCAGTCACCATCACAAACCTCTCCCCAACCCCAGTGGAGGGACTTGCTCTTCCCATTCTTTGCACGAATATTTGTGCAAAGACCTTCTTTCTTTTTCAAGGTTTTTCTTGCCTTCACTAATGTGCTCACGAATTCATCAACTGTTTCCTAAACACCAACACGCCTCGCACTCTACTGGTATCTCAATAATCGCTGAAAAATTACACAGAACGTGGTATCTTCCATAAACGATCAGAGTGAAAAAGCCATTCCCTCCGAAATGTTAAAAGGAAATCATTCTGAAGCAACCAGGAAGGCCCTAGAAGGCTCGAGTTGCTATTACCGTATTCATATGACTTATTAATTACATTCCTCCGTCTTATGTTTTTCCTCGGTCACCAGAAGGGAACCGATACATGGCCACATTTTCCCGTCTGCTGTCTTTAAGCCACAGCACAGAGGCATGGAGTTTTAATTTCACATGCATTCATTTCTGGGTCTTCAGTCTTTTTTTTTTTTCCTCCTCCAAGCAGATAAATGAGGTTCTAAACTTAGGATAATAAGGCTTAACAGTGAGGCGCTTTTTAAAAAGTGAATCATTTCTCAGTTCTCCTTTGCTAATCTCTCTTGGTAACATTAATTATGAGTTTGTGCAGCGTGCCCCAAGGCGAGCTCGGCTTTCCCAGGACAATTAAAGTTACTTAATTATTAAAAACTGTGTGTGCTGCTGCCCAGAGAGAAAGAGGCAGGCCAGCCGGGCTCCCGCAGCCCCCCGCAGGAGTGACCGGGCACTGTGGGAACGCGGCTCCTTTCCCTCGCCATTGTAATTCTTTCAATATAATCTTGAAAATCCCCTCGGCCGCCCTCCCGCCTGCAGGCCTCTCCCACCCCAGCATGAATGATTTAGAGGCTGTTGCGGCTGACTCCAGTCTGCCGGCTCCTCACTGCCTCGGGGCTGGAGTCCAGTGTCTCCAAGCCAGGGTGGAAGAGGCTCTGGGGCCTGGAGGCTGAGGGACAGCCAGGCCTGCCGGGGGATCTGAGCTGGAGCAAGGGCCTTCTGACCCCTGGGACCTTGGAAAACACCAGCCCATGCTGGCGGATTCCTGTGGGGCGTTTTCCTCAGGCCTTCTGCCCCTGGGAGCAAGACAGGCAGCGGGAAGGTCACTGTGTGTTCTAGAAAGGGGAGAAGGAAGGAGGACCACCCTGTCAGGCCGTGTTTCTAGGTGCTCCCAAGAGAAGATACTGATTTGTACGAGTTTTATTGTCTGGGGGTTCTCTGATCCTGGGAGTGAAGGACCTGAAGATGACCCTGGTTCGGCCATCAGCACTCCAAGTGACCTCGGGCAGGTGGCTCTGGCCTCGGAGTCTTGGCTCTGAAGTCAGAGGTGTCCTCTGATCTCTAAGGGCCTACAAGTCATGGTGCTCGATGGGTCTCACACTTCCCTGGAAAGAAACGCAAATTCCCCATCTCACCGTCTACTTCATTCGTTCCTTCATTCAGTCGGCAGCACCCACTCCCGGCCAGGCAAGGTTCTAGCTCTAGAGACAGAGCGGTGGGCAAAACAGGAACCCCGTCCCCTGTGGGGCGATATGCTCAAATCCTACTCATTCTCTTACACACAGGAGGAAATGAGGCTGAGAGGGGAGGAGGCCGGTCGTGGGATTCCCCCAGCATGCTGGAGACAGGTGTGCCCAGAATCCCGAGAGGAGGATGGGAGAGAAGGGACTGCAGTTTGGCCATCCCCCAGTGGTTCTCTCTCTCTCTGTGTCTCTCTCTGTCTCTCTCTCTCTGTCTCTCTCTCTCTATGCATACATCCTGGGGGGGGGTTAGAAGGAAGGAAGGAAAGGAAGAAACTGGTCACAAATGGAAGTCACTCATATCACTTTATTTATTTTAAGAATTATTTATTTAATTCCATTTATTATTATTATTATTTAATTTGACCAGAGAGAGAAAGGGAAAGTGAGAAAGCCAGCCACCAGGTCTGGAAAAACTCCATCACCCATGTGGGAGTCTAGCACCTTAATCACCACATCACCTGCCGGCCCCAGCTATATCATCTTCAGTATTCTAGAAGCCACATTTTTAAGAGTCAGAAGGTGAAACACTGGTAAGCTGAAACACTTCGCGAGGCTGACCCACACGGAAAGTTCTGCGCTCGCATCTGGAGATCCCCCTCGGTACAGTAGGCACGTGCGACTCATGACCTGGGGCTGAGGCTGGGGTGCACTGCGGGGTCAAGACTCTGTTGGGGGTGCTATCTCTCTGTGTCTCTTTTGTTCATAGAAGAAATAAACCAAAAAAAAAGAAAGAAAGAAAGAAAGAAAGAAAGAAAGAAAGAAAGAAAGAAAGAAAG